ACTAACATACATATATTATGAAAAGGCATCAGCCGCAGCGACGTTGTGCGCTGAGCGAGATGCGGCTTCATACTGAACGTTCGGCTTTCGAGGCCGGCGTTCGGCTGCCACTCTCAGCAGTCTTACTTTGTCTGGGCACACTAAAATGGTCGCGGACACCCATGGGGCTCAGTCGTTGACGATTTATCGGTATCCGATTATTTCGCTGTTTGACATGTCTATGCATTGTATAGTTAGTGCTATTACCAACAATCGATGTATAAAATCGGAAGTGACTACAAATGCTAAAATTGGCTATATGTAATAAGATGTAGCCAACAAATTAGCTATAACTCAAAACATAAAATGGTAATAGATTATTGTTGCAATTGAATTTATAAACTACTAAGATAAATTCAACTGCACATAATGAAAAAGCATAAAGTAGTGCCGGAAATGTGAAAAACATTTTATGCATATAATAGTTATTATTGTGTCATTTTGTGCTGACCTTTGAGAGCAAAAAATAAATTGGAAAAGCAAAATATAAATGTTAGCTCACTGCTATATGCGCAGTCTACCGGGCAAATATTTTTCTATGACATTATACAGCTTCTAAAATAGTTCCTACAATGGGTTCGCGAGCAAAAATTAAGCAAAGATAATTGCTTATATGCCCCTTAAAGAAAAGATCTAGGTAAGCAACCTTGCGTAGAAACTATTCGCAGAAAACCGCGTGATCACGATTTGTTTAACCGTTAATCGGTGTAAAGACTTTTGAGATTCAACTTCGCCAGAGAACACGCCCGTTCGAAGTCCCCAGAGCTTTGGAATTTAGTAATATTCGCAGATGAGTCGAAATCCAATAGTTTCTGATCAGCATGTCTTACGTTTGGAAGAGCCCTAATACAGAGCTTTACAAAGAAAACTTAAATGTTGTACATGGCGTTGACAACGTCATGGCTTGGGCCGGATGATTAGCAAGAGGTACTTTAAAAGGAACAAACATATGTACTTTTAAATTTTAAATGATCTTTTGCTGCAAAAAGCCGACGATCTGGCAAAACGTGCGAATTTTTCGTGCTAATTTTTATAAATACCCCAAATGTAAGGCGGGTATAGTTTAATCCTGGTTGAAAACATCCAAACACACCAAATTTATAAAAAAAAAAATCGACCTAAAGTGGCGGCGAAGACTGTTTGACAACATCGATGCAGAATCGCTTCAAAGCGACAATAAAGATGATAAATTTTATAGCTGATTTATATTACCATACCAAGTTAAATTATCCATATCCCATCTAACTGCATACAATAAATTCTTGCCTTAAATATCCAGTATGTTTTGTTATTTAATTTATACGGAATTGGTGATATCAGTATATTGATAATAAAGATCCTTATTATGTTAGATATAGGAACATAGTACCATTATTTTCATTTAAGTCTTTATAATCTCTTAAATCGAGATCATGCACGGGTTTTTGTGACAGCTAGGTGTGTACAACAAACTCAATGAAACAAGAGGTTTTTTGAACCCATTGTGGTGTGGAAATAAATCGTTAAAAGTGAACTCAGGTTGTTGCGACTGGGTTTCTTATTTTAAAACCACTTGGCGCTGTTATCGTGAATACAAAAAGTGGATGTTACTTCATATCCCATAATATAAAAACCCATTAAATGTAAAAATTGATAAAAATTTGCGGATATTAAAAACAAAGCTACTGATGGATATGACGCGAAACGTAGTAAGAATCAAATTGACTTTAGCGATAGTTTTTTAACCTGGCTACAACTTTATGTTATCTGTTCACTTTAGTCCCTGTATCTTTATGCATTCTGACTAAGCCAGCACGAAGTCCGGTGGATATTCTTTTATCCAATTTAATATTTTAAAAAATACTAAGCGATTTTATTACATTTGTTTTATAAAATAATCAGAAACTGATCATGAATAATTTATAAATATTCTGGCTATTCGCAGACATTAAAAATTATTATAGTTGTCAGCGTTGCATTTTCAAAAGGCTAGATTTGACCAAAAAAAAGCTAAATTGGCAACACTCCTGTTTAAATTGCTTTATATTCCCTAGCTCAGTTCTTGTTTATATTCTTAGTTTAGAATTTGAATATACTATTACCGCTTGCAAGTTCTTAATTCTTAAAGCTTGGAGCCTTTGTGTGCACATAATAATAAAACAAAGAAGTTGACATCAAAATACAAACATACATATAAAACATTATGGTATTAGCTTCCACATTTATGTACTTACATACATATACATATTAAGTTTTCTGTATTTAATATTTTTTAAAACACTGCTTTTTACTTACAAGCTAATGTGGTGTACACATGTGGTATATTAATAAGTATCTACATACGTACATATGTACGTACCCTGTTCTCTTTGAAAATGGACAGAGATTTTTGCAAATGTATGGAACAGGTGGAGGGAAACATCAAACATAAAAAGTATATACATACATAAGTATATGTTTGTTCGGCATCCATGTGTTGACTTAGCCACGTCCGTCCCTGTTTGTCCGATATTCTATAAATGCGTCGTGCTTGGAGCTAGGGATATCCAAGTTTGTATGTGGGTTCTCGCAAAGTCCCCGCTTCCTCAAAATTAAAATAGCATTTCCCCTAGTGTGGGGCTAAGACTGCTGCATTTTTGTGCAGCAATCGGATTTTGTGCATATGTATAGAAGGAAGTTCGAACATTTGGAACCGGATTCCTGTCACTGAATACGGGGTATATACCAGTCGGGCATTCCCGACTAGAGGACATTACTGATTTTTCTTCTTATTTTTGTAAATATACATATATTTGGACTCATTTGCAATTATAAACATTTATATAAGAATTTCATTTGTGTAGGAAATCCAACAATTAGAAACATTGTGCAAGCAGCTGTACGAAGCAACCGATGCAAGCATACGCGCTGATGCTGAAAAGAGCCTTGTGTCTTTCGTCAATAGCCAGGACGCCTTAGCCAAGTGTCAGCTATTATTAGATCGAGCTGACTCCAGCTACGCACAACTACTTGCCGCATCTACCCTCACAAAACTTATACAGGGGATAACTCTTGGACAACGCATTGATATTCGCAGCTATGCCCTTAACTACTTGGCAACCAGGCTTAATTTGCAGCACTTTGTAGTCCAAGCGCTTGTAACACTTCTAGCTAAAATCACAAAATATGGGTGGTTTGATTCATACAAGGGCGAATTTATATTTCAAAACATACTTGAGGACGTGAAAAAGTTTTTACAGGTATGTAAATATTTAAAGTATTTACATCAACATTTTTATTCTGATGTTTTCTATGTTTAGGGTTCAGTTGAGCATTGTACGATCGGCGTGCAAATCCTGTCACAGCTGGTATCAGAAATGAATTCAATTGTGGAATTAGATGCTAACTTATCATTTTCAAAAAATCGGAAGATAGCTACATCCTACCGAGATCAGCAACTGTACGATACTTTTCTACTCTCCTGCTCTCTTTTGATAAATGCACGAGACAATAGGAAGAATTTAAATTTTTTGGACGAATCGCAACAGGCGTAAGTTAATGTAATCTTTCAGACGTTATGTAAGACTGGTCTAGAGGCCGGGTCGTCAAGTTAGACATGGACAAAATTCGATATTATAACTCGAACATTTTGAGAAGTGTATGTTTGTTTTACCAAAAAGAAATTAAATGTGTCCATATACAGTGGCTCACAGCATATAGGGTTATGACACTCTCGCGCCTATAAAAAGTCAAATACAGTAAGAACGGTTCATTTTACATCGTCTAAGGTCTAAAAAACATAAAGTTTTATAAAGATTAAATGAAGAATAGCGGCTGTCCAGCGATTTCTCTGTGGCGCATGTGGTCCGTGGTTTCGCCAAAAACGTATAACATTTTCAACCAATAGGATAAAAATTATACATTCCTTTTATCCCCGAACCCATTAAAATTGGATATAATGAATTTGTGCAAATGTATGTAACAGGCAGAAAGAAGCATCTACGACTCCAAAAGGTATATTAATTTTGATCAGCATCAATAGCGGAGTCGATCTAGCCATGTCCCTCTGTCTGTTCGTCTGTCCTTCCGTATAATATATAAGAGCTAGATCGAACTTTGAACGTAGGTCTTTCTAGTGCCAGCGCAGTTTGAGTTTCTTTCCGATAATCGACACACACAGCACAGAAAACGATATCATTGCAATTGCAATGATGTTAATATAATTCAATAAATTCCGTGGCAATATAAGCATACGCCTTCTTTAATATCTTCTGTGTTTCTTAACCGATCGTGATGAAATTTTCATTTAACAGCAGTAGATCTCATTGTGCTATAGAATATTCCTATGTTCTCAAAAAGAAAATTGCATTAAAATTGTGGCTTAAATTGGTGGGTAGTCCAATTGGTTTCTTTATTTGTATGGCGGGTGGGTGGCGGGGGTTTCAAAAGTTATAACATTAAATATACTTGATATATATAATATTTAAGGAGCTAAATTCAACTTTACTGACTCTTTCTCTTGAAGCCTAAGAGATTAACTCAAAAAATGTATTTAATATCAATTGCTTGGAAACGGGGCAAGTTATCGATTATCGGAAACAAACTTGTACTTCGGTGGCACTAGGAGGACCTATGTGTGAACGCGGGTATTTCCGACTAGTATTAGAAAATATTTTTGTTTTGTACTTGTCGATATAGCCAGCGTCTGCCTGTTTGTGCAAACTAGTCACTAGGCTTAAAGATTTCAGTCAGTAAATTTGTCAGCATCGGACGAATTGAATAACTACTAAAATTGACCTCGAAAGCTTTTCGTTACATTTCACCATATATATTGTGTCTCCATAGTTTTTTTAAAGCAGAAGGTAAGATCGAGGCCTTCAAAATAAAAAATTGATTGGATGGAATAACCTTTAAAATGGATTTCCACCGGCACTAAAAATTCGGTCAACAATAGCACTACTACTTCGCTTGCGATGTACGAGAGCTAGGTGCAAGGTCGTACATCCTCTGCCGTAGCAGACTGATAATCTTAACCATTAGTTTATGTAAATTGTTATTTTAATGTTCTTGCCTTTCTGTCCAACAATTAATAAGATATAGTTTAAATTGAGTTAGGCAATAATGCCTTTAAAAATTTAGGGCAGTATTAAATAAGAACAAGGTCAGGTTTGGAGCTGCAATTATACTGTAAAAAAAAAACCTCCTAGGTGAGTGCTAATGCAGCGCGGTATGCAAGACAGTCTTCTTGTTTGCCAGATATTTTTCAATGTCTATGTTTCATCACATATTACACGCTTTATAATTATTCCTTTTGATAAGGCTCGACCTCTGGCACTGTAGTTCTTAGGTCGATAATCTGCTCTCTAAAAGTTTCCATTTTTTTGTCGATCACATTTCTATTTGTACAGGCTGGTTACTGAGTGCCGGGCGCACGGCTGCCTTTATTACCAAAATTAACTCTTTGGAACATACAACTCTCTTTTTATACCCTGAACCCATTAAAAATGGATAAACAGGGTATATTGTTTTGTGCAAATGTATGTAACAGGCAGAAGGAAGCATCTCCGACCCCATTAAGAATATATATTCTTGATCAGCATCAATAGCATAGTCGATCTAGCCATACCCGTCTGTCTGTCTGTACGTCCGTCCGTCTGTCCGTATGTATGAACGCAAGGATATCAGAACCTATAAGAGCTAGAGACTTGAAATTTTAGCTGTAAGTCCTCCTAATGCCCGCGCAGATTGAGTTTGTTTCCGATATTCGATAACTTGCCCGTTTGCAAGTAATCGATAAAAATCGATATTGAAATCCTGTTTTTTGAGCAATTTCGGCAAATAATATGAGCTAGAGTCACCAAACTTGACATGTAGCTTCTAGAATAGTATATATACATCAAGTATCTTTCATTTTATACCTATCGCCACCTCCCCGCTACCACCTTAAAGCTATAAATCAAGTTAATTATCCAACTTGTATTGCGCATCAATATAAGCCACAATTTATATGCAATTGAATTTTTGAGAATACACAAATATTCTTTATTCTATTCTACAATAAGATGTACTGTCGAAAATTTCATTAAGATCAGTTAAGATCAGCGGTAAGCGGTGCGGTTAGTTGCTAGTTTGAATCCTGCCAAGGGAAAATTTTTTTTTCAGGGTATCCCCTAGTCGGGAGCTCCCGACTAGAATCTCTTACTTGTTTCCAATTTTCTAGCATCTATTATTTTTAACAAAAGATTCGCCTCTACAGTCCGAATTTACTGCACCGGTATTACTCCACATAGGGCGTGATTGAAAACTGAGCTGTCTCTCTTTAATGTGAACTAGGATATTTACCTTAGTTTTGTTCAAAATGATCTTTCACGTTAATTTCTGTTTAGTTACTGATCTTATTTCATTAATTCTTTATTTATTCCACCGGTCCGTGTAAAGCATTAAGCACATGATCATAGTGCAGCGGCATTGGCGAATCGCTTCCTCGATTCTAAGTTCCGTTCTGTGTCGGTTTAATTTTGTTGGACTTCTGAAATTCTTCAACAGCCGCCCTATTAGCAATTAAGAACTCAAAAATATCCCAAAAAAATTAAATGAATATATTTTAAATTATATTTTTCAATTTAAAATTATATGTAAGACATGCGAAGCCAAAATAGTATGTGGCAGTTGCAGCGAATGTCGACCATCTTCACTTTGCGAATAGCGAAAACAAATTGATTACAAATGGCGTGGGTGCCATGTCAGCTCGTTAAATCTTTACTCAGTTGGATACCACTTAAGTCAAAAGTATAGCTCTTTTGGGCATTTATGAGTCAATGAATCGTTAACTAAAACTTCTCGATTTGCATCAGTCTAATGAATTCATAAAAAGAACTAAGAGATGAATTGCTTAACACATTTTGTAGTGTTTGCCAATACTTTGCAGCGTTTCTTGATCTTGCCTTTGTAAGCGTTAAGCAAAGTTATGTGCGAGAGCAGCTTTGCATAATGAGCGGTGATTGCTAGTACATATCTCCCGCACGAGACACGCAAGTGTCAGGATGTGCTACTAACAATATTAACAAGTGTATATATTAACAGCTGATACAAGCAAGAGAGCTGTAGTCGGAAGTGCCCAGAAAGGAGAAATGGTGAACCTTATACAAGATGCTGCTTTCGGCAAGCTTTCGATGATTTAAGGCCCACCTGATCTGCGCGCACCATAGAATGGTCCATTATACCAAAGACAATATAAACCCTAAGATGAGTAACGCCATACAGCAAAATGCTACCATGCAGCTTAATTTTTTAAAAATTGAGAGCGAAGACGAAATCAGTACCATTGCGCTCTCACAGCTGAAAGAGCGAAAACGCTGAACGTAGCATGTACTCTCAGCTTCGGCTCTATAAGGCTCATGCAAGCAATTATGTTTGTACGTGTGTTGACATAACAGCATATTTGAATGTGTTGTTATTTCATGGCTTTTGCTACCGAAATAACGAATTTTGTTAGTTTTCTGCGCTTACCATGATCTATCCCAAATTTGTATTTTCATATGTTTGTTGGTTTGGTAGAAAATCAATATATTTTAAGCCGATTCTAATATAATTTCGTCCAATAAATATATTATTATTTAAAATAATTATTTAAGCCATTATTGTCATTTTATCTATGACGTTCTATTAGTTGGGATATAATAATTTAATTTAAAGAAATTATATATGCAAATATTTGCATCGACTTTAAAATACTACCGAGCTAGCCTCATACATTCATATGTAAATACAAATTTGGGATAGGTCATAGTCATCGCTAGAATACTAGCAACATCAATTTCTTTGCAAGGAAAAGCCAATGCAATGGATAACAACACATATTTACATATTTTGATGTACTCATGCATGCATAATTCATACATACAAACCTAGGTGCTTGCACGCCATTGGAAGAGACAAGAACTTCTCTCCAGTATATGCTGTCTAACAACAAAAGTAAAATCAATCTACGTGTGCTAATTTCTAAACATAGTTATTGGACAAGGTGCGCTTTGTGATCAAATTATTTTACTTTTAAAATTGCCTGTAAAATTTATCATTAGTATCTAGGGTAATTTATCATTTAAATAAAGCGCATTTCATGGATAAAGCAAAAGTACTTTGCGTCGATCGTAATTATAAAGTCTTTCCGCTCAATGTACTTCGAAAAAGAAACGACGCGGAGCACCATCGACCAGTTTTGCCGAAGCTAGGCTGGCGACTAAATTCTTTGCTCGTGTTAATGCTGACACAAGGCGCGACTTCGGCATTCGTTCGTCTGCCTTTTGGAGACACGCATTTATATATAAATAGATACTTATATATAACAGATACATGCATACTCATACACAAAAAAAGATAAACTCACTTATTTGATTTTTATCTATTTGATGTGTATTATTAAAACAAGCTAAAACGAGAAAGTAAGAATATCTTTGGCACGCCGAAGATTTAATATCTCTGTAGTCATTTCTCTTCTGCAAATATGTTATAATAGTGAAGCTCAGAAATGCTGAGTTTGATGAAAATATCTTGGAAAACATCATTTTTGCCATACAAGAATCTACATTTCGTTCGATCTTTCCTATGGCGATGATGATAAGATTTCGTATATATATGAGGTTCATAGTGGTACAATTATATCCGGGGTTTGGTCAAATTTTCCATACCAGGGTTATAGTCAAACTACTAAATGCCGAGGTTGGTCGAAATACATATCTTGATAATCAAAATAGTTTTCCATACAAGAACCTACTTTTGGACCGATTGTTCCTATGACAGCAGTATGATATGTACTGCCTGCAAAAGAGAGACGGACCTATGTAAAGTTTCAGGGCGATAGCTTTAAAACTGAGAGACTAGTTTGCATAAAAACAGACAGGCGGACATGGCTATATCAACGCGGCTGCTGATACTAACCTAGAATCTATCTACTTTATGGGGTCGAAGATGTCTCCTTCTATGCGTTATACATTTCATGACAAGATTATAATGCCTTCTACAAGGGTTTAAAAACAATAAATGCCCTCTGCTGCGTTTCAATTCGCGCCCTTATCATCCGAACTTATTGCCTCATAACTCGACGAAATACTAATTTTTGGACTATTTAAGGAGAAACCGTGAGCTAACAGCTATGTCACAGCATACACTGCAATCCCACTTGCAATTGTATTTATAGAGTGTCAAAAAGACCCAGCGGACCAAACTGTTGCAAATGTTATCGCATACTGGTGAAATTCGAGACTTAACCCAACAAAACTCACGCAATCCAATCGGGGAAACGATAGCAATATAATTCATATGTCGTTCAGTTTGTGGCAGTGAAAGTTTTATTTACGATTGTTGCAAGAAATAGGGTTAGCGAGCCTTTGGTAATATGTTATGCGAGCCTTATTGATATTTCTAGAGGTTCTGATAAAATATTTTCTGTGATACATTTATGATTCAAAATATCATTATAAATAATATTTTATTTAAACCGGCAACAATATTAAAAAAGTCTTAAAAGATATATTTTCTTATTTTTGGCATCAGGCTTGACTAAGCGCGACACTCTTTCCTGCGCGTATTGAAAAAATGTTTGTTTTACGCGGTCAAAGTCACCGTCTTCCAGCGCAAACTTCTGTTTGTAGACAAGAACAAAAAAATTTAATTTGAACAAATACAGGTTATAAAAGTAATGCTTACTCCGATTTGCTAATGTGGTTCGAAGGCCTCTAACACATATTTTTTGTTTTTCCGTCGCACGCCAGGAGCATTGTTTTGCAACATCGTCTGGCCCCAGGAGCTGCTGATGGAAATGTCGTGTTTTTCAGAGCTTGCGAATAATTCAATGATCTTGAGGGACATGTCAGATTTATAAGCGAATAGTGAAATTATTTAATTTAAAGCTTCTTTGCCAAATTCTTGGAGGATTTCTCTTCTTTGAGACATTCTTCAAATGCCTCAAAGTCTCCAATAGTAGCGTTCGGTGCACTTGGCAGCGTCAATTTCGCCTTGTGTGCCTCTCGGCAAACTCGTCCCTTTATAAGATAAATTTCGTTTCTTAATTAAATAATTTCTCCTCCTTGACGATCAATTTTCGTCATCATCTCATTTGTTTTGTCTATGCGTTGTCTTAATAGGTTCAATATTTCTGCAAATAAATTTTTTTTTTAATACATAAAATATGCATTCAATGCGAAATTGTCTCATTACATTACCGAAGTTATTGCATTGAATTTTTTAAATAATATTTCCTTGAGTTTTTGATGGAATATTAGATAGGTCTAAAAATAGATGAAATAAAAATGAATAAATTATATATAAAATGTAAAATTATGTCAATATGTTACCTGCAAGTTTGTAATTTGGACGTGTAACTCACTCCAATTTCGCTGCGAAAAAAACTGTACGACGAACTCATAAACGTTATGTAGCACTACTTTCAAGTTGAAATTGAATTGGTTTGAAGAGAAAAGGTGGAGTTTATGGTTCTAGGTCAACAACTAATCGGCTATGCAACATTTTATTTTCAATCTTAATAATTTTATATAATGTATATGTGTTGCCATACTTTACGAAAAGAAGCTATCGCGATCTTTAAGATCAAAATACCAGTGCTTATATGAAATTTTACCGTTGAACCCATTAACTTTTAAAGTTTTTTCTTTGAGGACGACTTTTAAAATACTGCGTTCTGCAGTTCGGTTGTATAATTGCTCCAAGGAGTAGTCCAACGTTTTACCCATTTTTTTGACGGCTCAGAAAGTTGTCGATTAGAAAGGACCTTATGGTCAGAGAACCATAATTTAAAGTTTGTTTGCTTAAATGTTTAAGCAATGCAAATTTTATGTAAGCATTGGAAACATATAGAAAGTAGGCACTTGGCTTACAAAGTCATTTAACAAACTGGATGCAAGAGAGTTTTGTGTAACATAAAACTCCCTGTGTAGAAGAAGTGTAATTCTTAAGCTAACTAATATAAAATGATTTTATAAACTTGATTCTATAATGTCTTTCAAGTCAATGGGTCCAGTATATAAAAAAAATCTAACGACATTATCTAAAGATCTAACTTCTCTATTGAATTCTCTAGGTAAATATTTTTTTAAATTCATCAGTTTATTAAGAGAAGAGATGAAGCGAGTGCCGTTTTCGGAAGCTATCATTGGTTCGTGGTGTATTACATAATCCTCTGAAAAGTACTCGCCTATTAAAAGTTTTTCCCTTCTGATTTAATAAATCAACTTATTTGGAAGAATTTGTCTGCGAATTAGGAGAATTAATCACAGAGGGCATGGTATTTCAAGATAGAAAATTCCAAATATCAATTAGAGCATTTATTTGCGATGCGCCGGCCTGCGCCTTCATTTTGTGTTTGAAATATCACTCCGTGTTTTATTCATGTAACCAATGTTATTCCATGAACACTGAACAGAAAAAATAGCTGCCAAAGTGTCTTTTGTGGATATGCATGTATGCACTTGCGTGCTTGTGTGTGTCTAGCCAAATTGCATGCCTTGTTAGTTGTTAGGCTAAATACTTAATAAAACACATATATAAAATAGCTTGCCTACATGCATAACTGTATTATGTCGTGTCATTTTTTTCTCTCTCTCTCTCTTTCACTCTAGCTTTCATTGATATCGTCACACGACAACAACAAGAAAAGACACTTTTCGCTTCCACTTTTTTCGTTTTGTTCTTCGACAGACACACATTTTCTGTGCGACCGAACGAATGTGTCCTGTTAAGATATTACTGTTGGACATAACAGCGGCAATCCTCAAGCAAAAGCACGAACAGAGTACACAAGCGCAACGAAATAAAGTGTTCGATGGACAGCGAATCTGCTTCTTTTTTTTCTGTTTATTTGAGTGCTGACCGCATTGAAAATAAGTGTTGACTGTTATTTGCGACCTCTGAAAATTAGTAAGGAAATTAGTTAACGCGTCTTTTAAACCATAGTCAACATACTCACCTAGCTCAATAATTCGTTTTACATTACCACGTGGAGTACATTTTAAAGTACCAGGAGTTTTTTCGCAACAGTAAAAGCAAATCATTGCCTTCCCTTTTGCCGATGTTATCAGCCAGTGAGACAGTTATTAGCAGTGGACAGCCAATGCGCTAAGCGACTATTAAATTCGGTTGAACTGGAATGTTCCGTATCTGAAAATGAAAATGAATTCAATTAAAATTTTATTTTCACCTCATTTATTTTTAACAATCTCAATTTTTTTCTGTGACTTGTTTTACATGCTGCGCCTCGCAAATAGTATATTGCCTGATTTTTCTTTTGTAACGCATTTTCACAACTTTCCTTATTGTTTTAATTATTATTATTTTTATTTATTAATTGCTCGTTGCGCAGATATTAAATAATATTGTGAAAAGCCGCAAAATAGTGTAGTTATTAACAAACACTTTTTAATTACTTAAAAAAGACATACACAAGAGTAGGAAGCAAAAACAACACAGTATCCGAATGCCGCGTCATTTTTTCTCTCTCTCTCTCTCTTGACGATGTTGCACACTCTGAGCACGTACGACAAATTCCGCGTCGGCTTTATCATATCTTCGGCTTTAAATATTTGAAACAAAAACAACACACCATTCTCTCTACTGTACTTGAATTTATATCGCAAAGATCTCACTGCAACACTCGTGTGCGAGTGTTTTGCAATACAAAAATATCCCACTCGTTCTCTGCTCACATACGAGCTCATTTGTGAGCATTTTTAGCTAAAGGCTCGTGTGCCGGTCCGCTAGGGAGCGCAGGCATATGATTGTATTTGTGCACATGTACACAGACAATATGAAAAAAAAGTGTTCTATAATTACTTCTGTGTTTCTTAACCGATCTTGATGAAATTTACTGCAATCGTTCCTAGTGTGTCAAATAATGTAGTAGTTGGAAGGGCTTACATTCGTAAATGCGGTCAGATTGACGGAGAAAAGGACAGCCAGACATGGATTCAGCTCAGCTATTGTTCTCGACCAAGAATATATATATATACTAGCGGGTATAACCCGGCCTTGCCGTGGCACGTATGTTATAAAATCAAAGTTTTCTAAAAGCTTTGAAAATGATTTTGAAACTGATCGGACGGGAATCAAACAAACTTAAAATTCACCAAAAAAAACTTTGAAATGCATTTTCCACCGAAGGAGTTTAGATTTGGCGAGAAATGTGAAACACGTCTCTAATGATTTTTCTTATAGATCTTTGGAAATAAGTTTAAACACAAAACGTCATCCACCAAATCTTCGACCCCCATTTGCACCAAGGAGGGATGGATTTTTCAAAAAGTGTGAAACACCCCTCAAATGAATTTGAATATAGATCTTTGAAAATGAGTTAGGTGCCGATCGGATGGTAAACAAAAAACTTTCATACAACCGTTTTCCGCCAATTTACTACTGTTGCGGGTGGAATTTTCCAAATCGTCGAAATACGTATTCATTAAGTTCTTATTGAGAGCTTTGAAAATAAGTTTGAAGCAAATCGGACACAACTTAAAACTTCGCACAAAAAATCTTTAAATCGCATTCCCCACGAAGAAGTTTGAATTCTGCGAAAAGTGTGAAACACGTCTCAAATGATTTTTCTAATAGATCTCTGGAAATGAATTTGAGTGCGAAACGTCACCCACTAAATCTTTGACCTCCATTTCCACCAAGGAGGAATAGATTTTTCAAAAAGTGTGACACACCCCTTAAATGAATTTAAGCATAGATCTTTAAATATGAATTTGGGGCCGATCGGATGATAAACAAAAAACTTTCATACAACCTTTTTCCGCCAATTTACCACTGTTGCGGGTGGAATTTTCCAAATCGCTGAAATACGTACTTATTAAGTTCTTATGAAGAGCTTTAAAAATAAGTTTGAAGCAAATCGGACACAACTTAAAACGCCGCCCAAAAAATCTTTAAATCGCATTCCCCCCGAAGAAGTTTGAATTCTGCGAAAAGTGAGAAACACGTCTCAAATGATTTTTCATATAGATCACTGGAAATGAATTTGAGCGCGAAACGTCACCCACCAAATCTTTGACCTCCATTTCCACCAAGGAGGAATGGGTTTTCCGAAAAGTGCGAAACACCCCTCAAATGAATTTGAACAAAGATCTTTGAAAATAAGTTTGGGGCCGATCGGATGGTAAACAAAAAAGTTACATACAAACGTTTTTCGCGATTTTTCCACACTTGCGAGTGGAATTTCCCGAAACCCCGTCTTAACGTGCACCTACATCACATAAGGTAGCTACAGTGAAAATTTCAGCTTCCTAGCTCTTACGGTTTGGGCTGTGCGTTGATCACCAATCAGTCAGTCAGTCAGTCAGTCAGTCAGTCAGTCAGTCAGGACAAACAGTTTTATATATAGAGATATATATATATTAAAAAGTTTAAAATATATAGTTTTTAATATTTATTTGTTGGCTGGCTCGAAACATTGTTTGTTTTAACAAACACGGACCTCGAGCCAGCCAACAAATAAATATTGAAATATGGAAAGAGCCATCAATATATATAGTTTTTATATATATTTCCACTTTCAATGGGAGCAGAGTAAAAAAAGGTCAAGCCCGGGTCAACAAATGTTGAGGTATTAAAATTTTTAATTAGTTGTAGAATTAGTTGTTAGTCGTGTTTTGAATATGCAAAATATTTTATATTAATATGTTTTCGATTATATTTAACATCTTCAATATTGAAATGCAGCGAAATTAAAAATTTTTTTATTTTTACAATAAACCCAGAAATGCATAAATGGGTCGCACCAAAATCGATAAAGATGATAAGCTGTTATTGGCGAATAGGTGAATTAGCAATGAACAGCAATTGAGTGACAATATTGGGCTTAAACAGATTCTTGTCTTTGATTCGTGTTCTTGTATATGTGGCTGTGGAACACGGCACTTGAAACGCTTAAAAGCATTAGGAAGTCCACGCGACACTACCTCCAAAAACGCTTCTCCACATAGAAGTGATACGTTTGGCTGCGGAATCGTCAAGTAAGGAAATTGACTAAAGTCAAGACGTCAATTACTGCTATTTTTTTGTATTGCAGACAAGAGGTCAATATTATATAAACCAACGTGCGCGGCTAGTAAAACTTGAGAAGACCGCATCAATTGAACGGTGATTTTTGGCCATCTTAACAGCGTCTCCTCATTGGCCGCCAAAATGGAGTGAACGGTGATATAAAGCACCAATATAGCCTATTGCACAGGCAATATGCGTGCACTTCTTGACGAAGCATTTTTGAGGAGATCTCGTGCGCACATCAGTTTTGTAGCAACATAGGCCGCAATAAGTCTTGCCGCTTTTAGTGGGCAGACGGACTATAAATTCTACGGTTGTCAATCGAGCAATATGAAGAACACGATCTGCTCCCATGAGCAAATCTCTCTGCTGAAACACGTTAATTGAAAAGTCAGCTAAAGTTTTGTTCGACGAATCAGAACAATTATCAGTGTTTAATGAACAGCTAAGCATATTATCTGGTATTGTTTGTGCAATGACTGCAGCTATGCAAGTTACAAACCGAAGTTGGCGATTTGGTTTTTCGAAGTTAGAGTCGGTTAGTAAATCGAGTGGTTACTGAACTTTAGTTAAAAAATGCTCGACAGGGAATTAAAGTATCGAAGTGTTTCAATCAGCCTAGCGGTACCTAACAGAACAACACTACTGTGCATATTACTAATTGGCTTAAGTGTTATATTCTTTTCATCTGCAAGCTTGGTGGATAGATTGCCATAGCAAAATTAATAGTTTTTACCGTCCGACATCGCTGTTCCAGATGTGTAGCTATGTAACTCCACAAAGGTATACCTTTTACGAAAGTGGAATCCACTAACTTCTCTTCTCACTTCGCTTGCGAGGTTTAGTCCAGTTTTTTCAGAATAATCTGCATGATGGATGATGCTTCTAGCAATCCTTTTTGGAATTCGCAAGCTTTTTAACGCGACTTGGACAGACTACTTACTTAAAGCTACACGTGAACCATCGGCCACAGTTTTGAGCCCCAGTATCTCAAACATGTGTGCCTCAAGAACTTAACGCTTTTTAATAAATCTCTTCTCCAGTAAATTGAGCGGAATGACATAATTATCGTTTTAAATATCCAACGATTGAATTGCGTCCAGCAAGTGTTTTTATTTAGCTGTAGGAACAGGACAACATTTTATGAAAGTCTAGACCTTCTAAGCCTTACATATTTTGTAAAGTCTCCAAACGTTTATAAATTAAAGTTATTTGCGCTTAAGAAAACTAACTTTTTTGGAAGAGAGCAATACCTCGAAGGGAATTTTGTTGTTGCCTCGGTAAGCATTCATGAAAAAAGTATGAAATACCATCGTCTAGTACCTTGACGCCATAATAATATTTGGATTTTTGCCAAAAATAAACGAAATGAAAATAGCAGCACGTAAATATCTTCTATGTTTTTTTAACGGTCTTAATGAAACTTAACATTATTGTTGTAGCTTCAATTGGAGTTTTTATTTTTTTGATTTTTCAGGATTGGGAGGAAGTATCTAAAAATCGAAATATTCATATTCGTTTGATATACATTTTTATCAGTTCCGTAGATTCTGGACAAATACCCGATCATTTGAAATAAAGTTGATCTACGTGGGAATAAGTAGAGCCGTTAATCAAGATTTCAAGTGTCTAGCTCTTATATTTTGGGAGATCTACATGTCAATACACGCGGGCAAGCAAACGGACATAGTTATATCGATGTCCCAGAAATATAAAAAAGAAATCTGTTAATTTACCAAACTCTACAACCAATTGCCCGTTACTTTACACATGCTGTCTCAATAAAATTCATGGGATTTTTTTTATAGTCATCACAAATTTAGTTCTTTAAGATGGAAGAGTTCTGTAGCTTTGTATATTAAGCTAAGCACTGCATCTATTAATACCTTTTAATCTATTTTGTTTCTATGACTTCGTTTTAAGCGTATTTGAATTTCGGTATCTAATGCCTTCCCTGGTTTTAAATTTCGTATATTTAATACAATAAAGATTCAAAATCAAACCGGCCTTCTTGTATGAAAAAATTGAGGAAATAGTTTTTTAAATTCGTAATAATACCCGTATAATACCAGTTCTATATGGCAACCGACGCACAATATACGTATTTTGATTAACAATAT